AAGTCAAATATGGAAAGTTTTCAAATTCAAAACAATTCGAAATTCGAATCAAGGTGGATCTCTTAATCAAACCTCCTCATGCACACAAGCAAATTTAGAAGGTTTGTAATTTGCTTCCACATCCTCCCCTCTCCCTCTTGATGCCGTCGGCCTTACTAGGTTCCCCCCTCCTTAATTGCTCCATTAATCCCTCATCAATTTGAAATAAAAAATTTAATTTCAAATAGAACTCTCCTCCAGATTTCAAATCCTGAAATTTATTTTAGGATTTGTTTTTCAAACTCCTCCCTCTCCTCTCTTGAAACCGCCGGCCTCCCTCTATTAAGCTCCCCATTAATTCCCCAATTAAGGCTTTAATTCCAATTGATTTGAAATTCAAATTTCAATTCAATTCCCACCTAAATTACTAAAAACTAAAATTAAATTTCAGTTTTGATTAATCCATCCCATAATTCCCTAAACACCTTTTCTCCACCCTAGCCTTTCTCCTTGCACCCGCCGGCCTCCCCTCTTCCTCCAGCTCCCGCCGCCCCATCTTGCTTCTCCCTCGAATAGAGAAGCCAAGGAATGGAGAAGACGACGCCTCCCCTCTCCACTTCAATGTTGAATGGCGGATCATGAGATCCATCTTCCACCAAGTCGTTGGATCATCATCGGACATCCGCCAACCCCACCTACTCCGACTACTTTCCCGTGGTCAAAGACTTCCGGCATCTTCTTCCTAGTGGTGATCTCAATTCTAGTTGCAAAATCTTCTCTCGCCAAGCCTAGTGTAGTCGAGTGAATAATCCTCAAGGTGAAATTTTCTCATTATTAAGTTGTGGATTGTTGTTTAATAGCTCTTAGCTTTGCTACTATTTTTGTTTATCTCCAAGGATTAGTTAATCTACATGTACTCCTCGCCTAAGCGGGTTGAAAACCAAGAATCTTTAATGATTTTACTTGTTATCTCAATAAACTCTTAATTGTAATTCCATTGTCAATCACTTTTAATTTTCTTAAGAAGCTCCTTCGCATGTGGTTTCACATCAGAAGATTCTACACAGTTCCAAGAAAGAAAAAATACAATGATAAAAGAAAGTAAAAAAATATTGTCAAAATTATTGCGAGGGAACTCATTGAAGTAGATCGGGCTGCCTAAACCTTTGGTCTTTTGACTCGTTACTTAAAGATAGCATTCATTTATCATATTCTTTCAATCACATAATGTAGATATTACGGTTTATCATAGTGTGTAGTATCAATTGCTCTTTCCAAAAAGAAGAGGTTTAATTTAATAGATTATTTGTAGAAAATTTTGAAGATTCATTAGTGCTACATGTCGATAACAAATTGTTTTTACTGGGAAAGAAAAAATAGGTTATCATATTCCGATTCCGAGAATCTAATACTAACTTGTGAAAACTAGCTTCTTATACTTTGAACTTACATGATAGCATAATAATATATGGAATTAAGAGGAAAGGTTTCATTCGAGACAGATTTTTTTCACTTTCTAAAGCAACATTTTAGTACACAAATTTTTATACGAAAAATTGCTTTAGAAACATTAAAAAAGCTATCACAAACAAAGTCTAAGCCTTAGCAGTTGAACAAAGCTCTCTCTCTCTCTCTCGATATATTTATAAAACACACATGCAATACATATTTAGATAAGCAGTAAACATTGATATATTGTAAGTAGCATCAGTACTTCATCAGGAAATTGAAGTCTACACTGAAAACCAGCCACAGAGAGCTTAGAAACCCCAACGAGAAAGCTTACGAGTAGCAGGCGGATTCCTGGCCACTGTCAGTCTCTTTGGTGGGGGATACGTAGTAACTATAACTACTCCACCATACTTCTTCGCTGCTTCATTACTGTCGATCACTGCAGGCTGAGCCTTCAGCACCTTCTCCAGTGAGAAAAAGGCATCTCTTCCCACATTTTCAAGACGACGATTAGACATATTTATTACAGGTTGGATAGTGAACGAACAAGAAGCTCAATCTTTGAAAAGTTTGCAAGCTTTTGTTGCATGGAAGTGATGGTGGCAAAGCTTGCCATTTTATAGAGGGACACTGCTCATTAAGGAGAATAAATTGATCAGAGAGTTCGATGAATATCAAGCGTATAATTAATTGATTAACTACTTTCGGTGGGGAATTATTTGGTGGAAATATGTGGAGAGATACGAGGAGGAGAACAACATAAAGCTGAAAGAGTAATAAAATCTTGCATCAGATACTCCAGAACCTGTAAGATTGGAGGTTTTATTTATCTCCTTCAGTGCCAAGAAACAAAACTGATAGGTCCTGATATCGAGATTCTAATGGACAGTATGTATAATATATATGAATGATTAAAAACAAAAGAGATGGGGCGTATCGATTGGAATATCTTCTCTGTTGCTTTGTGCCTTTAATATATAATACAATATTGGTAATGGAAGGTATAGTATTATTGTGTTAACAGCATCAAATCTTGTGATTCTTTAAAGTTACACAACAACAACAACAACAACAACATCAAGCCTTTATCCCACTACGTGGGGTCGGCTACATGAATACTTTTTCTCCATTGTGTCCTATTAAAAGTCAAATTCTCGTTTAAATCTAATAAAGAAAGGTCATTCCTAATATTTTCTAACCAAGTCTTTTTAGGTCTACCCCTACCTTTCTTAATATAAGTCAAATCTAATACCTCTACTCTCCTAACCGATTCTTTAAAGTTACAGCTCTGTATTAAAACTATTATGTAGTTTCCATTCCTATCACGTGAAAAGTAGTTTTGTGCCGATAAAGGTAATATTCTTACTCAGAGCCTCCATCCGCTCTCTGTAATAGCAGCTTCCCAGCTGAATCTCAGCCGTTCATCCACAATCCTTTGCCTGCAAATATCACAAGCAAGGTCATGAATAAAAACCTTGAGTAATGACACCGGACCGGAGGGGGCTCAATGAATCCACGTCGATGATCCGATGACCGTGACCGTGACCAAGAACTCCTTGGGAGAGGGATCACCACCTGAAATCCTTCAGGATATAGAAACCCAAAAAAAGTAAAACTACTTAAATATTATTCATCTTCCAAACCTCCCCTACTACAATCAATAGCTACCTATTTATAGACAAATGTAGCAACCTACTAAGCTACACACCACATATGCAAACACTAATCCTATGTAGTCATATAAATTACCAAATGGATTAAACTATCTTGAAGTTAATACAATTGATGGCTCAGCTCCGGCGTCAATAATATCAAAAAGTAAAGCCCTAAAACATCGAGTCTTGTTGAGGGTGATTCAAATTGTACCACATAAGAGTACAGTTTTGAGTCATAATTTTTATTTTTATTTATTGTTGATGGCATAGGTAAAAGACGTATATGAAATAACCAGCACACGGTAGAGTGAATGGTGAAAATAATTCTAAAATTTTCTTTAAAAATTAATAAAAAAAATACATCTTAATCATGAACTAATCAGACTATGTAATATGCATTTGACCATATGGTGCTGTATGATCAGTACTAAGTTCAAATAAACTATCCTTTCAAGATTATTTTCTTAATTAAACTAATTCAAATTTTGAATTAATTGTACTATATGATTCATATTGTACTATACGATTACCTTCTTAAATTAATCTAATTAAACAATATATAAAAATTAAGTGGGAAATAAATGTTAATCTAACATTTGCAATGATATATTACACCATAACATCAATTTTAGGCTTCGTTAGGGGTGGTTTTTTCATTGTTTCTTAAAATAATTTTTTAGTACAAAAATTTTAATGTATAGTATATAGTATATATTACAAAAGTTGTTGTTAAAAACAGTAAGAAAGCTGTTCCAGCTTTCGGGACAGTTTTCTTACTATTATTTTCATTTTTTATCAATCTCAATGGAACTAATATAAAATTTGTTTTGGGCAGCATCTTTGCTATTTTTTAAAGCATTTTTTAATATAAAATTTTTTTGAATTTAGAAAATTTTATACTAGAAAGTTGTTTTAAAAAACAGTAAAACAATCTATCTCAAACGAAGTCATAGTCAACAGGCATTCGAAGACAAGTTCGAAATAAGGGTGTACGTGTGCGGAATCGGGCTTGATTCAACAAATGGCTCGTGAGCTGAGTTCAGCTCGATGAGCTACCGAGTCAAGTTTGAGCAAGCCTGACTCAACTCATCAGCTCACGAGCAGGCTTATTTTAAATAAATACTAATATAAAATACACTTAAAATCTATTAAGATTTAAAATTTTAAATAAAAAATTATTTAAAATGTTTTGCAAAACTATATCTCCATATTTTATACTAACCCATTCTATATTATTTTTATTTTAATTTACTAAATTTTGTATCATTATGTTTAAACTATGCTAGAATTATAATCATTTTCTTTTTACGTAATAAATGACCAGCATTTGACCTCATAGCCAACTCAAATTCATAAATAAAGCTCGAACTCGATTAATTAATCAAATTTAAACTTAAATCAAGGATGACTCGACTCGTTTCCACTCTTAGTTGAGATTTACTTTTCAAAAATGAATATTATTATTGTGACACTTAATATTCATAATAGTTCAAATTATAAATCATAAGAAAGATAAATTTATTAAATATATAATTTAATAAACTATTAAATATCACCTGTCTTTAGTTAAAAAAGATATAAATAATTTTTGGACAAACTGATAAAAATAATAATAAAAAAAAACATATATCTTCAATAAAACCATTTCACGGTGCCCATTGACTGTCGGCTCTCCCTATCGCGGTCCGGCGGTCCCGAAGCCCTCTCGAGTTCATCCTGTCTTGAGATCTCGCCGGCGTGATGAACTCGTTCACCGGATCCGGATCCCAGCGAGCCCCATCATCTTCCTCCTCCGCCGCCGTCTCCTTTGACTCCTACCAATTCGACTTTGGCATCGGATCCGGCGGCTCCTCATCCGCTCGCCCCCTCAAGGACCAGAAGCTCAACCCGAACGCTGTCTCATCAAATCCCATCTTTTCCTCCTCAAAGCCTGCCGCTCCATCCTGGACCCCCTCGCCGGCGACAAGGCCGTCGTGGACCCACCAACCGGCGACCGCCGACCGATCGGGCGTTACGAATCCTTCTCCTTCCATGACAGGTGACATATTTGGGCGAAGTTGGTCTTCTGCGACATCTTCAACCTCCAAGATCGGCATCCAAGACAAGAACCCTAACCTGTTCAGCGATTTAGTTGGATCTGCAATCGGGCAGGGCCGCTCATCCCAGAACGTTCCCCTCAAATCAGCCCCGCCGAAAAATCCCTCCTTTTCTATGGCCGATCTGAAGAGCTCCATCCCAAAAACAAATAACCCTAGCTCCAATTCAACGGGAAGCTTCTCCCCCTTCATTAAATCTGGCCCTGCCATTGGAACTCCGATAAAATCGGCTCCTGCTGCCGCTTCGAACTCTAAACCGGATCCCTTTGGTTCATTGATGGACTTTACATCGAAGCCCTCATCGAACGTGCCTTTGTCCACAGTGAAATCCTCCGGAAGTGGTGGTGGTGTGGGTGCTTTTGGTGCTTTCCAGAATGCCCCGACGGCTCAAAAGCCTCAACAGAGCAATGGTGGCAATGATTACTCTTTCGGAGGTTTCCAGAATGCTAAAAGGAATGATTTTGGAAAGCCTCAACCGGCTGCAGATGGAGCTGACCCGTTGAATATGTTCTTCTCTCCGATGGCATCAACGACTACTTCAGCTGGAGCTGCATCAGAAACCCAACCGATCCCTGAGATCCATGATTGGGATGTTGGTTCAGAATTTGGAGGGCACGACAGTGGGGGCACAACGACAGAGCTTGAAGGGCTTCCCCCTCCGCCGGCAGGGGTCACCGCAACGGCTGCCAAGACGAAAGGTTTGGACAATTACAAACAGGGACAGTTTGCTGATGCAATAAAATGGCTTTCTTGGGCGTTTGTGCTGTTGGAGAAATCTGGGAACGCTGCTTCTTCCGATGAGGTTTTGATTTGCAGAGCTTCTTGCTACAAAGAAGTTGGTGAATATAAGAAAGCCATTGCTGATTGCTCAAAGGTATGTGTTATTGCAAACACTTCTGATTTAATGCCCTTAGATGACATGTTGGTCATCATCATTAGTCTTGCCCACAGTTTTTTTATTCGCTTAATGTATTAGGCTTCGCTGTTCATTCCTTTTTAATCAAATTCTGGTGATGGTTGGCTAAGTTTGGATGCTAGAAGTTTCTGTGAAAGGAAATGAAAAAAAAAAAATTAAAATGTTCAAAACATTTGGCAAAGTGTAGGGTTCGTCTTGAACATCAATGCTAAATCAAAATGTCCTTCGATTGAAGCCATTTTGGTACTCTCAACGATATGGTAGTGGAAAAACATGCCTTGTTGTCTTTTAGATTGATGACATACCACGACAAGATATTGATTGAGGCCTTCAACCTTTAGATTGCAATCATAGATTCTAATCAGGCCAGTAGTTTCGCATTGACGGCCTTCAGATCTGTACTTGAGAGAGAGAGTTCACAAAAGAGAGAGGCTTCTTTTTCCTACCATTTCTAATTGCCTTATTCTACAGTTAATAGATACACAATTATTTTATAATTAATAGCTACACAAACCTCTCAAAAACAGTCTCATCCATTCCTTCCTCACATCATCTTGACAAGTTAAAGGGGGTGTCAATATTGAATTCGACACAAAAAATTCAGGTTTGGTTCAACTCATATAATATTTGAGTCGGGTTCAAGTCAACTTAAATGCCTTAAAAAAAATCGATTTAGATTGGTGTATCTAATCGAGTTTGGGTCAACCTAAATAATGATTAAGTAATTATTATTTTTTAATGAAAAACTCACACAAATTTTTAATTTTTTATTATCTTTTCTAAGATGTGTTCAAACTTGATAATTGTGTTTATTTCAGGATGAGTTGACATTGATTCGACACAAATTACATGCTTTTTCTGTGATAACAAATCAAATTCAGGTTTAATCGAGTCGGTTTTAGGTGGGATTTTTTTTACCTTTTTAATAAGCAAGTTGGGTTCGAGTTGACTATATTTGTATTATGTCATTTTCTGGTTAACCTCAAAACTAACTTATAAACCAGAATTTTCAACTCTAGCTTCTTCACCTTTGTAGTCATCAAAGAACTTTTTTTTTTTTAATATATTAATTTTACAAATAGTGGTCTATAAATACATCCTATACCCACAATCTTCTTTATTTTCCTTCATTGCATCTTTGTTTATGCCATCTTACTTGCTCATTAGGCACTTGGAGTTGAGAGTGTGATAGTAGACAAAATTATTTGAAGTTGACTTTTCAACATCGTCTCCCCTTGCTTGTTTGGACATTTGGACAGTGTGGTGCAAGCTATAGGTAGATTTGATGCCAGCTTTTATTGTCTTTTGAGCATTCATGATGTGTAATGATGCACAAAGACAAAGCTTTTGTTTTTTGTTTTTGGTTTTTCCAACAAGGAGGCGATTGTCATACCCCTGTTGAATTACCATCAAGGCAAGGATGTGATTAGGTAAACCAAAATTGAGAAGAATGCAACTCATCTCAATTTGGTTCTTCATTCAACAATTTCAACTCACATCAATTCGATTTTATCGAATGGATTCACCACACCTGAATCCTAGTATGAATGGTTTAGCATACTCTTCAAGCCTTAAGTTGATAAACTCTAGATTCTACTTGGCCGATGCAAACCAATTCACTAATCCATTACAGTAGAGGAAAACTAGACTAGAATCCATTACAGTTGAAGAAAACTAAACAAGTCCACAATTGCTTGTATAGTTTAGACAATAACTCAATAAGTTGTTCAAACTATAGACTTACATAACCAAAGAGTTATTGGGGAAGCTATCATATGGTTTTTTCAGACCCAGAGATATAAACAATAAAGGTATGGATAACTCAGTGAAAATTGCTTAAAATATTAAAGACAATAATGCAATGATTAGCTTCAAGATTAAGATGCATGGTTCATTAAATGAAGAAGTCTGAATACAAACAAGTATCTGGCCTGCGGTCTTTCACATAACACATTAATCATTCAACCATATAACGCAAGTAAATTGTAATGGTTTGGCAAACTCATTCAATATTCCATGTAAAGTTTTCATGGGTCACACCACTTTCCATTAGATTCATTCAACTATAAGGTCACACCAAAGTATAGCATGATTAAGCAAATCCATTGAACATATTAAATATTCATTCAACTATGAATAATTCCCAAATTGTTTTGATCTTTTCTATTGTCTGATCTAGTATTTGAGGCTTTAAAAGTGCGCGTTCTACTAATTCAGTCCATCATAAAAATGATATGCACTTCTTACAATAAAGTGCTTTGAATGGAGTCATGCCAATACTTGATTAATAGCTATTATTGTAAGTGAACTTGATCAAAGGAAGGTGCTACTCTGCTCCCAATTTCTCCCGAAGTTAAGGATGCACATTCAAAGTAATTTTTTTAGGATATGTAGTATTGTTTGTTTGAATTGTCTACCAATTTGAGGATGAAAGGTAATGTTGAAATTGATCATCAAGTCCTCTTGCTTATTACACTATCTGTCATTTCCTAGACACGAAATGATTGTCTCGATCGGAGATTATAATGTTGAGTACATTATGAAGTTGAACAATTTTGTCGTCAGCCAACTAAGATAATCAATCAACATATGAGGATTGTCATATTGGAAGGAAATCCACACTCTTCGTCAATATATCGATGATCACCTAAATGGCATAAGTAGAGGGCTTTAAGGGAACCAATGCACTCGATGAACAACTTGAGCTTGACTTGATTAATACTCATTTAAGCTCATTTAAGTCAATAATTAAACTAAACTCTTTTTAAATGCACTTGGGCTAAATGAATTAAGCTTGAACATAATTCAATTCTTTTATTTACTATTATAAACAAATTTGTTTGTTATTCAACAAGAAACTTGTTCAAAGCTTGACAATTGACATTAAGCTTGATGATAGCTTGAGTATTATTTAATTAAATTTAATTAAATATAATTTATTTTATAACATATTATTGTATATTTATTTATTGTTCTAGGATATTTTCCCAATTCCCATCACTTATTTCTCCAATTTAACCTCTAATTCCACACGTTTGAACTCCACCACTCTGTCTCCCTAGCGCCCATGATTGCTTGCCTGAGCAAGGGTGCAACCAAATCTTAGCTCACATGAGCCTCTATAAGTTATAAACACATTATATTCTTCTCATTCTCAGTCTTCAAATAGTTGACACGATGGCGAGACTCTATGAGCACACCTTCTTAGCCCTTGAGGATAGTGGGTTTGAAGGAGGTTGGGGCTAATATAGGTTTTGAATCCTAGAACTAAGTGGCTGTTCTAAGTTTGTTTCCCATAGAATGTTTCTTATCTGTGCAAGTTTTTTTTTTCCTAGTTTTTTAATTAATTAATCTATTATTATTGAATTTGTATGTTGATTTGATACTTTTTTTTTATTTTCTAATGAACAAGTTTGTTGATATTTATTTATGTTTTATGATTGCATGAAAAATTATTCATGATTTATTTATTATCTTATTTAATTTATGTTTTGTAGTTAGATAACAATCCATATTTTTTAATTGAATTCCATATTTTCTTTGCATTGCTCATTTGATGTCAAGGCAGTAGAGGCAATCTCAAACACTAAGCTTTCAACCCAAATATCATAACATTGGGATAATGCTTATGTGGCCACAATTTTATTCCAGATTGAACAGAAGTGTTTGCCTAGATTTTGTAGCATAGTCTAATGCAACAATTAACATAAATTTAATCAATACTATAGGAAGAAATTTTTTTGGGCCATAACATGGATTAATACCTCAATGACCACTACTTTCATCAATATTGGAGGAAGGAATTTATGTTGGAATGTGTTAAGGATTGCTTGAACATTGTCAAGACGTATTGTAGATATGTAAATATAAATTTGTGATTGCAAAGATTTGATCTACCTTCAATTAATTTTGCCTTATCGAGGTTAAGTCCATATAGTCGCCTAGAGGTGAAAGAACAAAGCTATACAAGTTACTTGAGGAAAACTTGTGTTAATATCAACTTCATCCTAGACTAATAAACAAGTAGGTTTTTGAAGTAAAGTATGTATAAAAGGGAACTTTAATAAAGCAAATGAACATTGTGTATTATAAGACTCCTATTAGAGACGCCAAAATATGCTTATAGGGAGTTGTCTTGAATGTGTTGGATCTCATGGGTGAGAAGAAATCTAACTTGATCAACCTTTTTGTGGAATGATTTCATTTGCTAAGGAAGGCCCTACAAAGAGAATTATCACCTTGAGGATTAGAGTTGTTGGTGTTTAAGGTTAGCATAGGTGATGGTATGATTGGGCCACCCGATCTCCATCTTCGACTACTCTAATACCAGTATAGTAGGAAATTTGAGCTTTATGCGAGGCACTGACACATAATAACCATAAATAAATTATAATAATCTACCAAAGAATGCATTATATGAGAACTTTAATTTGACATCCATAAATTGAATGGTGTGCTTGATTTGCTAATGAAAGTTACAAAGCGTGACATATAGAGAGATGGTGCCTTAAGTTCTAACTTAATGGCTGTTGATGCCATATAGAGGGCCCATGACAGCATGGACTATTCTTGTGAGATAGATATTAAGAAAGATGGAGTAGAATATATCATCAATATAAATCCTATTGTTAATGAGAATCCCTTTGACAATATAATAGAGTTCCTCTATCCCAACATCTTTTATCAAAGGATCTTGATGAGGAGATCAAATCTCTTTAGAGTCAAAAATTTTTAAGAGAATGATATGATTGAATCAAGTATGTTTCAAAGGTGACTCTTTTCAAGGGGCAAAAAGAAATAGTCCTCTTGCTATAATATTGGATTTCGCCCATTAAGTTATGTGTATTCTCAATCTTTTTTATGCTTTTGTTGTTGGTGGTGTAGAAATAAACCCTAAAATTTTAATTGCTCACTCTTACACCATTAAGAATGTTGTTCACATAAAACGGCGGCCTTCCGATGACCCGGTTAGGAGAGTAGAGGTATTAGATTTGACTTATGTTAAGAAAGGTGGGGGTAGACCTAAAAAGACTTGGCTAGAAAATATTAGGAATGACCTTTCTTTATTAGATTTAAATGAGAATTTGACTTTTAATATGACACAATGGAGAAAAAGGATTCATGTAGCCGACCCCACATAGTGGGATAAAGGCTTGATGTTGTTGTTGTAGTACTCTTACACCATTAAGAAGACCCTCATATTTATCCCTTCACTTATTTCACTTTTGGGAGAATTGTTGGTGATGAAGTTCAATTACATGAACAAGAGTGATTTGGGTCTCACCACATCATATGAGCTTAGGATAAGATCAAGTAATATGTCTTGTAAAGTTAGACAAAAATGGCTCTAGGCAAAGACCCTCAAGAAAAGACCCATATATGAACTCAGGGTCGACTCCCAGAATTTGACAAGCATAATTAATGAAACATTGAAAGAAATCTTAAAGTGATCCCCCTACCCTTGACCTTTCGCCAAAAGATGGGAAATTTTATTTATAATGTGTTGGTTGGCTATGAATTAGTCAATAGAGAGTCATGCCAATTCATTGTAGCTCCCTATAAAGCATTATGCAAAGTGACTAAAATAATGATCTACCTTGTCCTCCCTTTAATTTTAGCTGGAAAGACATAGCATAAAGACCTGATAAGTTGCATTCACATGATCACTCAGAAATGGTCAATGCGTTCATAGTACTCAGTGGAGCATTCATGTTGATCAATGATTAATACTTTGAATTCATGTAGAATGGGATGGTTGAGAATTTAATCTGTGAAGGGAGTTCTTCCATCTAAGTTACATCTTTTTGGGAGGTTAATTTGCCCTCATTTGGGTATTTGGGTGTTCTTAAAAAGATGAAAACTCCAATAGCTATGCTCATGGCAAAGCCAATTGATGAAGAAAGATGACAAAGATGGGTATGATATTCGTCCCTTGACTGTGTTTTTTGAATACCTTGGTGATAATGATGAACATGAGACAAACTTGTGATTTTAAGGATATTCTCGAATTGAGTTGGGTGCTCTAAAGTAGGCAGTATTTGAAAATTTGATGAGCTTGAAAGCCTGTTTTTAGAAGGATAACATCCATTATTCATCTCAAAGTAACAGAAGTCGTGAAAAAGACAAATCATTCCAGCTTAGGTGGATGAGTGGCTTTACCCTTAGAGATAGGATACGAAATGAGCATATACATGAAAAGGTGGAGTAGCTCTTGTGGAAGATAAGATTAGAGAGAGTCACCTTAGATGATTTGGTCACATTAAACGGAGGCATTCTGATGACTCGGTTAGGAAAGTTGAGGTATTAGATTTGACTTATGTTAAGAAATGTAGAGGTAGACTAAAAAGACTTGGTTAGAAAATATTAGAAATCATCTTTCTTTATTAGATTTAAATGAGAATTTGACTTTTAACGGGACATAATGACGAAAAAGGATTCATGCAGCCGACCCCACGTAGTGGGACAAATGCTCGATGTTGTTGTTATTGTATCAGACTCAACCTTCAAATAAATGACCACAAGTCCCATCGCGGGGCAACCTTTCTCCTCGATTTCAAGATGAAGAAGGTATTTGATGTTGAGACTGTTGGGGTATATCAAACATGTAAAAAAAATACTTCTCTCCTCATAGGGAAACTTCTTATCAGAGGCCTTCTATTTTTCAGGAGCATGCCAAAGCATGCAACTATTCAGCTGCTCATTAGCCCTACCTCCATCCCCTTCATATTCCCTATCTTATAAATGACATTCCATAGTAAAGGTAATAAAATACATCATGTTGGCTATCAAGAAAGATAAATAATATGTTCATATATGATATGATTCTCTACCAGACGATTTTCAGCATATCGGTACTTCTTCTTCCCTCAGCACATTCATAGGAAGAGAACGATCTGTTTGCTACTAAGTTCACTTTAATAAGAAGTTGATAAGCAATACCAAGCCTGAGTTTCATTGACATTACCTGTCCTTGGTAGAGGTATATGCTTCATTATTCTTTTATAACATAAGCTAATCTTCAAAGATTCACAATGAATTAATTTGCTCTCATTTTGGTTTCGTTTGGGACAGCTTTTTTTATGCTTCTTAAAGCAGCCTTCTAGTATAAAATTTTTTATTTTTGTACTACAAAGCTGCTTTATGAAGCAGTAAGAAAGCCGTCTCAAACGAAGCCTTTCTTTCAATCTGAACAACCAAAAACTTAAAATCTCACATGCATTGCAGGTGCTGGATCATGACAGTACTAACGTCTCAGTGCTTATACAACGAGCTCTTCTTTATGAGAGCTCTGAAAAATACAGGCTTGGTGCTGAGGATTTGAGGGCAGTTCTCAAGGTCGATCCTGGCAATAGACTGGCAAGGAGTACTATTCACCGACTGAATCAGTTTGCCGACTAACTGAAGAGGTTTTTCCCTATTTATTTTCCTCCACTCTTTTGGCTTTCACAGATATATAACTAAAAAACTAGCCGTTGAACTTTCCTCAAGGTTTAAAAAGCTGGGAATAAATGAGACCTTATTTTTTAAGGTTGGTTATGAACTACATATGTTGTTTGTGAACTGCATTTATGTTACATTTATATTTTTTTGTACCCTAAACTATTATATTGGCCATTCAGACTATATAAATATAAGCAGATTACTCAAATCTTTTCTCCTACAGTCCTACTCATTGTTGTTTAACTTGGTTGGTGGACGAGTACGGTTGTGAACCCCCAACCCGTGCTCAATTCCTCTCGAGCGGCAGTGCCTCTTAAGTGAGACCCAATCAAGTGCGGGCCAGAAGGTTTCTGAGGTGGGTGCCTCTTATAAGTCAGCCGAGAATTAGTCACGCTGTCCAATGTCCTTTTGGAGGCAGCAGCGAGTGGATATCCCGTTCAAAAAAAAAAAATCTTTATACCTCTCTAGCTAGTGTAGTTTCAGATAAACTTTTTGTCATTAATACCCTTGATTTTTTTCCTTTTTAACCTACAATTCATTTTTGTAATTGCATAGTTTATTTATTTGTTTTAGATATTAGTAATTCAGCAGTTTTAGATCTTACTAAAATAAAAATATAATGCTTTTGCAAATATGTTTTTGATATAATTAAGTTAGATAATTTTGAATTCAGAAATTCTTTTTTATTTTTAAAATTTTAAAGGCATTTAGTTTATAAATTGTTCTTAACAAATTTAAAATAACAAAGTTAATTCATCATTATAATATGTTTAATATTAAGCATTTAAATCATTTAGAATACTAACATTATTGCCTTTATAATTAATTTATAATTATTTTTTTGTTAATTAAACAGTGAACCCTTAAGCACTTCTTAATCCTTTTAACTTGCAACAACCTTCAATCCATTATGATTAATTAAGGCTTTATAAAGATAATATCTAAACTTTTTTTGTTTATTTTTTGTTCTAAATATATGTGAAGGATGAACTACACCAATCGCTCATTTGTATAATTTAACTAAGATCACCATAAGAACGCAGCAGTTCAAATATATACTATTTTAGTTGTTTTTAATCCTAATGATAAATTAAATAAACATACTATTAATTATTTTTCATTAAAAATATTACAAATGCTTAATATATTAAGACTTAATATTTTTTTATTTCAATTATTTATGAAGTAAAAAATAAAGGAATATCAGTTATTTAATAGGTATTGCATTGCTTTCAAAAAAAATATAATTTTTAAATACATGCTAGATATCAATAATTTAAATTATTTATATTTCGGACGCTATTTAATTACTTTTTCTTAAGAATATAGTTTATTATTAAGGCTTTGCTTGGGCGGCTTTCAAATTTTTTAGTAAGAAAATATTTTTTTTCAACTATAAAGCTATTTTAAGAAGCAAAAAGAAAATCATTCCAAACGAAATCTGAATTAAAAAGATAAAATCACAATCCAAATTGTCATCACCACCGCTACATATCCCATTGCTTCAAGATAAATTATTATGTGCGGAGACCGAATGCAGAACGTAGTCTAAAGACCAACCAAAATGCGTCACTTTATCAGTACCGAACCGTGGTACCGAGTGGTATTGAGTTGTACCAAGTCATGATACCGAACACATAGATGACGTGACACATTCTGATTGGTCTCCGGCCGATATTCATCGTCTGCATAGAATAACTAATCTTGCTTGTAAGGCATCACTATATTGACATCTGACCGTTCTAATTACATTGATTTTTTTACCAGTATATCAACACTATATCAACACTGCTCATAAATGCAGGCCCCACCTGTAGTGGGGCCCACAATAAGAATTTCAAGCTGCTACTATTGACAAACCTTCAAGGAAAATAACTAAGGTCTTTCAAACAAGAATTCAAAGCTATGAAACATATAACAAAATTCCAGAATGCAAATTTTAACCATTCAAGCAATAAAAGCTCTTAATGCCTCCTACTCCAGAAAGGAAGCAGCTTAGCAGCTCATTCAAGATAAAAAATACAAGTAAAAGATCATCAAAAGCATTACCTAAGCTTTGAATTGCCACTCTCTGCGGCACATTGGACAATGAGGCTGTGTGGTTTGCGAGTTCACCCATTTCAGAATGCAGTGAAGGTGGAAGGCATGGTTGCAGGCTCCCCAGATCAACGGACAATCGTCGCCGGGAAACTTACAGTCAGGACAACAGCCATCAAATGCCATTCTGCATATTCCACAGGTTTCATCCTGCGCATCCCATGTCCATGAAGCCACCGCATGCCATTTCAATATTTTAACTTTCATGTTGATTCCTGAAAGAAATTAACCAATTCAGTAAAAACTTATAGGAAAGAGCCGTTGAAAGTTGATGAAAATGGAATAATCTATCTCATGGCAGATCAGTAAGTTTCAAGCAAGGAAAACCAAGTTAATGTTCTAGAGATTGTTAGAGTTTTAATGTCATTATATTAATATTATCGTGAGCATATACGTGAAAAGGTTGGAATAGCTCCAGTGGAAAATAAAATTAGAGAGAATCACCTTAGATGGCTTGATCATATAAAACGGCGGCCTGCCGATGACCAGGTTAAGAAAGTAGAGATATTAGATTTGATTTATGTTAAGAATGGTAGAGGTAGATCTAAAAAGACTTAGTTAGAAAATATTAGAAATGATATTTCTTTATTAGATTTAAACAAGAATTTGACTTTTAACATGACACAATGGAGAAAAAGGATTCATGTTGAATACCGACCCCACGTAGTGGGACAAAGGCTTGATGTTGTTATTATTATTGTTGTGTTGTTTAATATTTATTATTGAAAAGATTCACATTTATTATATTTTTCTTCATTGCTCTCTGTCCTTCCCAATATATGGATACAATTGTATCAATAAATTACTCAATTCAATAAAAATTATGCAATTCTAACTTCTTTTAACAGTTAACAGGTTACTAGCAAGGATAGAATTGAAACTGGTCTGGTGGAGAAAATACAAACCACAGCACGCCATTTTCCACTTATTCATGATTTGAAGAAAGAATGACAATAACACTAAGGTTTCGTTTGGGACAACTTTATTATTACTTCTTAAAGCAGCTTTCTAGTAGAAAAAAATCAATTTTTGTACCAGAAAGCTGCTTTAAGAAGCAGTAAGAAAGTCATCCCAAACAAAACCTAAATAATTCACTCTTAGAACTGATGAGATATTGAAAGATGCAATATCATGAAATCTATGATATCATATGATCAGAAACAAAGAGCCTTTATCATCTTCAACATCAACATCATTAAATCTTTATCCTACTACGTGGAATTGACCATATTAATTCTTTTTCTCCATTGTGTCCTATTAAGAATCAAATGCTCGTTTAAATTTGATAACAAAATATATTTTTAATATTTTCTAACTAAATCTATTTAGGTCTATCTCTATCTTTCTTAAGTGTATTATTATGAATTTATGTTACAATTCAATGACAAGTGGTTTTTTTAACTTACATTAAAGAATTTTCCGACAGGAGAGAAACAGCAACCGCACAATGAGCAAATTAGTAAGGTGCTAAGAATCATACAAGATTGTGGGAAAAAATGCAACGTCCGGAGAAAATCTCTTCTGGCGTTCAGAGAATCAAAATTTATGGAACATGCGCTAAAGCTTCATAAACTGGAATACATGTAAAATTTAAACAAGAAAAAATTGTTACTTCATGAAGAAAAATGATCATAATTAATCATGATACAGAAGATTTTCCTTTTCTATTTAACATCTGATTCAAAAGATTAAAACAAATCAAGGGCATGATGAACTCAAGTTCTCCAAAACCAAAAAAACAAAGATAGACTTCATAATAAAGTCTCAAATGTCAAACCCAGAAGAAAATAATAGATTATGTAAGGCATCAATGGATCAACCCCACAATTCAAACCGATCAAGCACTTCAAACTAACGTTAGCATACACATCTCAGTTCAAGAATGCACAAGCAGATTCTGTCATTTGAATCATCATGAATGTGACGGTGGTAATAGCATGGCAAGGGAAAAGAATCATAAAATAGTGTTGTAAGAAACGGTACGCCTTAAGAAGCCACAGTGCAAAAAGCTGAAATTTGTTCGTGAAAAGTTGGTAAGCTGTGAAATCAACATCTGAGTTCTGAGATGGAGTATGAAACCATAGTAGAGCTCAGAACTTAAACAATCAAAATAAAAATCATTTTGAATGTTTGTAAAACTTACTATTCTTCAATTTGCTACATAAATTAGTAAAGGGTAGATGAAAATATCTGTCAGAAAAAAAATTTCCATATACAATAATAAATTTAATCCATCAATCACTTTCCCCAAATAGGGAGTGTTTATTTGTAAGGCCTGATGAGAAGTGCTCCAATAACTAGGTAAGGTGGGCAATTCATGGCCAGAAGAAATAGCTAACTCAACAAAATTTCCATCTCAACGAAGTTATAATTGTCCAAATATTCTTCAGTGGCTTCTATAACTTCTCAAGCATCGAGAATATCCGCATCATTAGATCATCATTGAGATGGCATTACCAACCTGATCGGTCATTATGACCAAGTTAATTAACATCATATTCCGAGATATTGAAATGGAGGTGGAGTCGTATAAATTTGAATACATTAAGGATAGCTATCATTGTGCTCATAGGAGCAAATTTTATAACACATGCAAAATATATTAAACATGTATGGGGACAACGTCCTAATATTAATTATTCTACTACTACTAAGGCTTCCTATTCACATTGAGCCACTAAGGCTTATGGATTTCTATTACTTTATAAAACAATTTTTTAGTGTAAAAAATTTAAGAATTATAAATTTTTGTACTAAAAAGTTGATTTAAAAAACAGTAAAAAGCCGTCCAAATGAAACCTAAATCTACTTGGGGCACAACCAAACATGAGCCAGTTAATATTATTCCAATAGATTCTACCATTTGAAAGGCACCTACAATACTCACTATGTATTCCAAGTTTCACCAACAAGATCATGCTATTAGTCAATATCCTCAACCCATATAGTTCCAAAGCAAGATGAGCCTAGAACATTGATCTATTGATGATTTATATGAAGATGTAGAGGACAATGACGGCATCTCTACAGACGATGACCTTGAGTATACAAACCAACTAGCTATAATGCATTTCATTCCACCAACCCTATCGTTTGGGGTTAACTATACGATGACAAAAGACACCAAGTAGTTATAAATGGAGGAAGCTCAGTGAATATTGATCCAAAGCAATATTGGCGTAGGCCAAGATAACTCCTAAGTCTTTTGATGTCTAGTTAAGTCAATAAAACATACCTTTCTGTTGACCCGTAAACTGAAACAAAAAAAAAGAGAAAAAATCAAACTGTCTAGTTAAGTCAATAAAACATACCTTTCAATCACTAAGCATTGTATAATCCCCGTGTATTTATAGGGCTATTCAGAAGAAATATGTTGAGATTTACTACCCATGGATATTGCCCTCATTATGTTGAGACGACCCTGATTATTTGACCAAGTGGATTCCACTATGGGTGGAGACAATTCCTGTGCTTTCAAATAAAAAGGGAACCAAATTAAATTGCTGTCATTTTAGCCTACTGAACCCCTAACAATGACTTGCTTCCATAACTGAAAAGAGAAAAAAAGACGATGCACACATTAAATTGTTTCCATCAAAAAGAGATACAATTTTTTCTTGTTGCAACCCCATTTTATTGTGGGGTGTCAAGACATGAAGATTCATGGATGATGCATTTTTTGCCCAAAAAAGGAGGATAAAACTTGATTAAACTATTCACTCCCATTGTCAGATTTAATACATCAAATATTAGTGGCAATTTGGGTAAAGATCATTTACAAAATATAGATAGGATTGAACTTATGTCAATTTCATTTTTCATGAGAAAAGGTCAAATTGTGTGTAAGCAATCATCTACGAAGGTAGCAAACAATTTGATTATAATAATATAAATTATACAGGATGGTACCCACACACATTAATTTGTATTAGGTAAAAAGGCACTGAGATTTTTTAGTGACTTATGCGATAGGATAGTCTATGGTGTTTGACTATTTGACGCACCCTACACAAAAGCTTTTCAATTTTTATTTTATTGAATGAGACGGGAACATGGATTGCAATACACCAAAAGGTCGATTACCCATTTGAATACAATGGAACTAAATTGTTTACAGTTTATGTATTCAAATTTTTAGATAAATGGGATTACGAAACATGATCATTACTATTTATGTCTAGATAAAAGAGGATTTTCCATTCTTAGCACACCCAATCATCTTTCTCGTGGTTCAATCATGAAATAAACAACAAGATGAAATACAACAGTTCAATTTAGGTCAAATGTTAATTTCGAATAAATAAAAGATTCATCAATAATTTCAGTGCGTAAAAACAACTATCAATGAATAGGGTTTATAGATCCCTCCCAGCAATAATAGCTAAGGTTCATCAACTACTTTTATTTTCTGTTTCCTAGACAATATATCTAGCAATAGAAATTGGTTGAAAATTTTGTCATTTGGTCGGTTGCTCCTATGTACATTTATCCAATTTATGTACGAACAATTTTTTAGAGCACATGAGAGGTATGAGGTGGAATACTCACCAAATTGGACTATTTAACATGTATTAATTAGTTTGTTAAATGCTATCAAGAAGATGTGAAGTTTCTCTTTCATCTAGCTTCAGTCCTTTGATAGGAAATACTTGATTTCAAGTAGTTCCTAACCAAAACTGAAGCCGAACAAGGAGAAAACTGCTGTCTCCAACAGGGCAAATTATTGGGTCAGGTGACCGGAGCCAAAAGATAAGTTCGGACAGCCAATAAAAATTTGCCACCGGTCCAGCCGGCCCCTCCTGGGCCGGCGTAACATCCTTCCATTTTTGTGGTCATTTTTTTCTTCGATAGTAGCATTGGTTTGATGATGCCTAGACTGATTTTGATATGGAGGCTTATTTTTGTTAGATGTGGTTTCCCTTGAAGTTTCCACTATGTATTTCGTATGTCCTGCCTTTTTACAATAATTGCAGAAGATACATTCTCAACTAGTCGACTATGGTGGACCCAATTTGGGTTTGCGAGGCTCATTTCTACTTGTGTTTGTTGTAGGATCAACAATTAGGGCACACCACTTTCACTAACCGGTGGCATTTCTAACATAAAACTGCATCACCCATCTTCACTTCTAATTGTAAAAAAAACTTCATTTAAATTGGAAATGGAATTTTCCATGTATTTGTATACATACTTGGCCAAATTTAGCATTCAATAC